TTCAGTATAATGACATAATTCCTTATGTTTTGTCATGATGACTGGGAAGAGGGAGGGATGCTTCTCAGCGAAGTAAATTATTTTAGCAAGATTCTAAAACTGATTCTCTTTCCCCCCAAGAAGCCTTCTCAGATGAGTAATCCTGCCATTTCATATGTATGTCCATTGTGAATGCCTGCGTCATTCCCCCTTTTCAGCATCACAGCTTCAGATGTGCAAATACCTATTTATGCCCCTGCTAGGAAACAGATCTATCCGCTGACTGCAGCTCTTCTTTGCATCCTCACTTCTAAGGCAATTGTCTCAGTTTTTCTTTCTTTCTTTTTCTTATTATTGGGGGAGGAGGGGATTTTTCTGGTCAAAGTAAATTGTCATTGAAGAAGGACTATCCAGTCATTATGACTGTACTTATAAGTTCCAGTCATGAATCAGAGTTCTGCTGTACTTCGCCTGTACAAACACTCATCAAATCTTATTAACATTAACTATCATTATTATTTCAACTGTTTTAATCAACTGTGGGGAAGTGTGAGAGAAGAACCTGCAGTCTGAGACAGACTGGTACTGAAAGGCAGCCAGCAACAGGCAGGCAGAGACTGAGAGCAAATAAACTTTGAGCTCTGGGAAGCATCTCTGATACTTTTCTGGTAATCTGGGGTGGCATAGATTTTGCAATTTTAGCAAAGCTATGCTGTCTGCTTTCACCTGTGCTCAACTTGTATATTGGTAAATAAACCCAAGTCTCCAGAGTTCTCTCTGCAAAGGGAAAGCATCCTTGGGTAAGCATTGTCCCTGGAACTTAACACTACAGTAATACCTCAGTTCACAAATTCTTCTGTTTGTAAACAATTCGGTTTGCAAACAGAAAGGTCAGCAAAATTTTGCTTCTGTTCGCAAATTCCACATCAGGTGACAAACACGATTGCAGCCATCCTCCCCGCACCATGACCACATGTCAGAGTGTGTTAGACCAGGGAAGATGGCTGTGTTCATGTTTGCACAAACACAAATTCTGCCATCTTCCCCGCTCTGACACATGGTTATGGGTTTCTCTAGTTGCAATTGCAGTCACAGACTCTCCCTTCAAACAACCTCCTCACCACTCACCTTTCTGTCCTCCACGCCAGAAGTCGCCTCAAGCAAGGCTCTCTCTTCATACTGTACTGTACTGTACTTTGTTTCATATTTTTGAGGTTAAAAAAATTACATATGGTTTCGAATGGAGTAACCTTATTTACATTGAACCTTATGGGGAAATTTGACTCAGTTCCCAACCAATTCGGTTCGCAACCAGAATTGTGGCATGAATTAAGTTTGTGAACCGAGGTACCACTATACTTGGGGAACATATAATAATATTATAAATCAACTCTCAAAAAGCCTCTAAAACAGCATTTGGTTCACAAGTGTACTTGTATCTTTATTTCTGAGGATTTATTGTCTAAACCACAGGAAAGATTATCATAACTGCTAAGGCACCCAAGGGAGTGACCTCTTGGTTTTCAAAACATTTGAGGTCCTTGATTTCCAATAAACCTTTGCTTGTTGGGTATCAGAAACACAGCTTTGCAAATGATGGTATGACAGTAACCACTCTGCATATCTTAACATAAAAAGTGTTTCTTTTCCTAGCGAATAATGACAAGAATCTGAATTTTCTTAAGGGAAAGCTGCCTATTGTACAAAACTGCCATAGAACAAACAGTGAACTGCCATTTCCAACAAGTGAGCTTTTACCATTTTCTTGAGGGAAAAAAGTAAATTTTAAAACAAAAATCTCCAATTCCCTACCTAATTTAGATTTCAAGTTAAAGTAAATGAACCTTACAGGAGCAAAATACACCAAAGGGTTAATTCCATATTCTTCTGGTAACTAGCTGCCTAGAGAGGTGGTGGGCTCTCCCATACTAGAGACATTCAGAAAGAAACTGGACAGCCACCTGAGTGGGATGGTGTGACTTGGTGCCCTCGATGGCCTTCATGACCCCTTCCAACTCTACTATTCTATGAAATACTTAAGTAAAGTAGTACATGATACCAAAGTAACAGAGGTTTTATATAATCTGCAAATATCTCCATAGTTTTTTTTGTGCTTCCTTTAAGCAGGTTAGAAAACCACAGGTTTGTGGGATCTACTTTGTCGTTTATTGCAAAATCTGAGGTCCAGTGAAGAGATCCAGGAGCAAAACTGTGGAGGGGGTGGAGCTAGGGAGCAAATTACTTGCAACACCCTATAAGCAATACACTGTCTATTCAAATGCAAACCTACATCCAGCTACAGATTAGGGATTCTAACAGAAACCTCCAAAGTGACTTGGTTAAAGGGAAACTATTAATACTCATATTTTACAAATGAGGAACACTAAGGTTAATATGTAATTAGCATAAAGCCAGTTACTGCAGGATTTTAAAAAGCATTTAATTTTATTTGCTTTTGTTAAAATATTGGGAATCACTTGCAGTTCTACTGCAAATCACATAGAAATCTACCTCCTGGCGTAAAGCATATATTATAGATTGTGGCAAAGTCATAACATTTGATGATGCACTGGAAATAAGGCATGAATATATAAGCCAAATATGAGGAGTAATTGAAGGGTGTATCCCCAGGGCTGGGATGGGAGAAGTAATGGAATTCCTAAGTAAAATGGCCCATTGCTGCCATAAAGAGAAGTTATATAACGAGTTCAGAAGAAAGTCGGGGATGGCGCAGGCATGTTGTACGGAGAGTTATTTCAGTTAATGAAGGATGGATAAGTGTAAGAATGAAAGCGCCTAAGTGAGTCGAACTGGTGGAAAGGAGGTTCCATGAAGAGGCATTAGAAGTAAACAAAGGGTCAGAAACATGTGAAGAGACAGGCAAAGGGTAAGGACATAAGAAGAGTAATTTTGGACCAGACCAAGTGTCATCTGGACCATCATTCTGTTCACAGCATGTCCACTACTGCCTGCAAGATCTCACAGGTGGAATATGAGTGCAACTGCACCCTTCTGTCCATGTTCCCCAGGAGCTGCTCTCCAGCTTCAGATGCTGGAAGTAGCATCACCACGAGGACTAGTAGCAGTTGATAGACTTCTTCATGAATCGGTCCAACCTCTTTTAAAGTCATCTTAATTGGTGGCCATCACTACATCGTGTGGAATTAAATCCCATCGTTTAGCTATGAGCTGCATAAAGAAGTACTTCCTTTTATTTGTCCCGAATTCCCCACCAATCAGCTCCAATGGAATGGTGTAAATAGGTGACTTGCCCCAGTAGGCATGTCTTTACACTTGCATACTGTAATAAAGCTCAAGGACATGAAGATCCCATAGTCTCAGCAGTGCATCTCCCTGGCTGGACAAAAAAGGCTCCGTTGCAAAAGTGGAACAAAAGGCCATCTTTCTAGTTAGGTGTTGATATGCTTTTCCAGCCCTTTCTCCTTGCCTGTCCATTCTCCGTACCCAATGACTTAGCTAAGGATATACACTGAATTTTGTGTTGAAGAAAGGTGAACTCGTACCCCATAAAGTAAGTTAAGTAGTATTTATTTTATTTTAAACAGGCCGCCAAGCGATCATAACATATGTTTATGAGTTGAAGTGGGTTGGGAGTAGTACATCACTTACTTTCTTATCATTTTCTCTCCTAAACTTATACTGATATACAACCAGAGGAGCAATAACTCTAAAAGCACAGATGTGGAGAATGAGATCATATCAGTATGGGAACTATGGATAAATTCTAAGTCCTTCAGTGTCACTGTCAGTGATTTCTACACAGCCAGAATGTCTAATTCCTGTAGATACATTTGAATGTAAATAGCCATTTTGTGCATTCAACATAAAAATGAACCCATGGAAGAATTCTGATGAAACAACCCAAGCTTTCAATTTCATAGACTCAAGATTGTCTCCAGAAGGGGGAAAAACACCTCTCAATTTATAAACACAAGAAAGAAAGACACTCATTTGCAGAAGAACTGCAACTGTACTTGCTAGAACTCATCAGCTACATTGTCCTCATCTTACAGAAGAAAATAATACCTTATGGAATGAAAATCCTGAACCCTTGAAAATGCTCAAGATATTTTCCATACACCACGCTTATCTTGATAAAATTGTACAGTTTGCCACAAATAATTATTCTCACATTTTGTAATTTATCTCTTTGTAATGAAGAACCATATAACATCACAGGATTGATTTTAATGCAGATGGCAAACAGTTCAGATGCAGGAATGCACTCCACAGTTGGAGAATGGCTAAGAAATTACAGAATGTAACACAGCTGTCCAAGTTTTATTAGGGCTTCAAAAGAGAGATAACAAACCAACATTCTGAGTATAAAAACTATGTGCAATAACCACAAGCTTTTGTGTTCCATATTCACAGAGAGCCAATGCGGTGGTTAGTGTTGGACAGGGGACCTGGGAGATCGGGATTCTAGTCTCCACTCAGCCATGGAGCTCACTGGGGACTTCAGACCAGTCACTTACGCTCAGCCTAACCTACCCCACAGGCTTGTTGTGAGGTCAAAATGGTGCTATGTAAGCTGCCTTAGGTTCTGCATAATAAGGGGAATTATAAGGGGGAAAACACGGGACATTAAAATAATGTAATAATAATGTGCTATATATTCTGTAAAGAAGGCCACATAATATTTTATTAAGATTCACTTTTAAGAAACAGTTATTACAAAGACTGGCAATATAACTCACTTCATAAATAACGTAAATGAGCAGAGGTGCAACATCTAGTTAGTGAATGGTGCCACAGAAATTAGCAAAGTGTGAACTTGTGCTGTACACTACCTTTTAAAAATAGTATTCTTTTTGTTAGCTTTACGGTCTTTTGTAATTTGATACTTATAATACAAGTATTTAAAATAGAAGAATTAAATAGAAAAAAGTTCCTTAATTCAAATTATAATATAAAGGAGAAAAATGTGTACCAAATTAGGAGAATGGATTAGAAATATCAGCAAAGGAGGAGTTTAAATCATGGTTCTTGAATCTTACCTCATCTTTATCTTGCACTTGGATGAAAAGAGGAAGAGCAAAGCCGACCTGGGCCAGCTCAGGAATAGCCACACTGTACTCTGAGCTATTGAATTCTGGGGCATTGTCATTTATATCAATGACAAGGATGTTAAAAGTAGTCATCACTGTTGCATTGGAAGGTGTGCGGTCATCATTCAGTTCTGTTCCCTGTAAGAAGAATTGGAAGGAGAAATAGTCCAAACGATAGTCATGGAGAACTGCAGAAGCTATGGTGGTCATCATAAGGAAATCACACCCAGATTAGATTTCATTCTGACACTGAGATGAAGTCAAGAATACAGTGAGCCAGGTGAGTCGTTCTGACCTCTAGGAAATGGCTGGACTGGCTCCCTGGAGGCCGATGAGCATTCCTGCCAAGAGACCTGGCTCCATTTCTCCTGTGGGTTAACCTGGCTTCCAGAATTCTTGCCACTCGAGGTGGAAACCCTGATTTTCTCCACCACTGGCCCAACCCTGACACATAGCTCATATCTTTAAAGTTTCATTAAGTCTGCACTGGGAGAATTAATAAAGGAATGTAAGGCCTACACTTCCAGAAAGGTGGGAAAAGTGTCAGATCACTGCACCAGGGGGCAAGAGAATCCTAAGAATGATGCAACAACTCAAGCTGCATCTACGCAATTTTAAGTCATTAAGGCTCTTTGAATGCAAACACACGATTATGGAGTATGCATGTAGTTTGACCATTTTAAGTGCATTCCCATCATGGATCCAGTCTGTAGGTCAGGGAGTGGGGCTAGATCTGCCCTCTGAGACAGACTGGTAAACAGGCCATCCTTGATGCAACTGATGTCATTCCATTGCACTCCCTGTGAGGGCAGCAGTTCACAGTGACCAGGAGGAGGAGGTATGGCCCACTGGTGCCTATTACAAGTTTTTAATCACTGGCACGTACCCACTGGTTTCACAGCTCAAGTTCCAGGGCACACCCTTTCAGCCCAAGTCGCATTTTCTGGGAACTTTCAACCCAACAGTAATGGAAACACCCATGCCGCCAAGTCCCCTACTGGCCATTGGTCCTACCAGACCCAGCATAAAAGGCAGACATGGCTGGGCACCTGACGGTGGAAACTAAAACGGTGCCGTGGGACAAGGAGAGAGGAGGAGGGCTTCGGCCGGGAGACGGAGCATTGTGGCTGTGAGCAGCCATAAAACCTACATTCTGAGTAGTTCCAATCCTGCCAAAATCCTCTTTATCAATCTGCAAATTGTAAGGACACTAGTTTTGCTTACCTGTAGTTTCTGATACAGAACCCCTTTCTTTATACTTTGAAAGACATTCTTCTGCAGAGATAATGCATTCCATCATTTCTCATTGCTTCCTCTACGTCCCACATGGGAAACCCATGATGGCTCTGTATGTGGCCTGCTGAACCCCTGGGGGCCCCATCCACCATTCTCCACTGCTCAGCTGATCAGCCATCAGTCTGGAGTGGGGAACAGATCGCTATGTCACTGCTGCTATTAACAATGGAGAAATAGCGATCCTGTTCAGGATTGCAGGGGGAGGGGAGGCCTCAATCTTGCTTCCCCCCATTTATCCTGAGTGATACTGAAGATTGCTGCTTCCCTGCAATGCCGCACAGCTATTTTGAATGTAGGGTGGGGAAGGATAAAACTCCCCCCTCCCAGTGATCTTCATCAAGACTGGTGTTTCTTTGGAGTAGACAAAATCTCCCGTTGCATTTCATTGAAAAAAGGACTGCATGGCAAAGTCATCTAAAGTTTATTAGCAGGGCTGAAGAAAAGTCATCCTTTCCCCTACTGAAGAACAGATTCTGCCTTCAGTTAGATTTTTCTTTAACTAAAGGGAAGTCTAAACTAGGGAAAGAAGCAAGATTTCAAGGGATAGCAATAATAGCCTATTGACCATGTAGAATCTCACTGAAAGACCCTGAACGGAGGTCAAGTGGAGTAACTCTATGCCAGTTTCCCTGTCTGACAAAATATTGCCCTTCTAGGCAGCCAGGAGGTGATCAGTACTCCTTTGGAAACTGCCAGCCACCCTCCCAGTCAATGGCCATCTAACAGATGCTTCTCCCCACACACATCCCCTTCTGGCCCAGTGGAATTCATATTACTAAATATTTTCCTACCAGCTTGTTGGCCAGGTATTGATTTTAATTAAGTAGCTATGATTGGAGATGGTGCAGGGAATTGGCGGGGAGGTTTTCAGGTGCTGGAAAATGACCCTTTGCAGAATTTGTTACCCAAGTGGCTTTGCCCCAATTCACTGTAGTTCTTGTGCTGCTCAGCATGGCTGGAAGGGTTTGACGAGCACTAAATGTCTCTTTTGTCACACAGGTGACCAAAAGGAAAGGGCAAGGCAAGAACCGAGAATACCTGGATGCTATCATGGCAAGCCTAAGTCAAAGGTCAACATAGGTCACAGTTGGTCAAAGTAGGCAGGGTACATTCCTTCAGGAATGTCAGCCTCACAGCTGGAGCTGTTTGCCAGTGACATTAGAGATATCTAATGGTTGGTTCTGGGTTTCTCTCTCATCCAACAGCAACAGTAATGAAAAAGATGTAGATTTTTTTTTAACAAATAAACTGCTTTGAAAAAGTTACTGCAAATGCCTGCAGTCATTTTCTATTTATTTACTCTTCTTACCATTCATGTGATATTTGAGAACTCTCATGTGGAATGACTTGCACTATGTTCATTGCATGCCACTTATTATCTATGACAACTTGGTTATCCATATATAACAATCAAGTGTCTTTGAGTTGTGCTTACGGGTCAAAAGCTGAGCAAGAAATATATTACAGACAGGTCAAGTATGCCTCATGATGGAGCCCTGGAACCATTTCAATATTCTATCATCTGGTGGCTACTGGCAACACATGAATGTAATTGGGTTGCATAAGGACCCCCAAGCTAGTATCAAGACTGGGACACTGACCAATGGGTCAGTTTTGAAACTACTTTTCCCTCAGCTGGAAATAACAGGATATGCTTCAAATTCTAAAGGCTTAAAGTCAGACAAGAAATATTTTTATGGTGTCATAACAACTGTAAAAGGTAAAGGTAAAGGTTTCCCCTTGACATTACGTCCAGTCATGCCTGACTCTAGGGGGTGGTGCTCATCCCTGTTTCCTAGCCGAGGGAGCCAGCATTTGTCCGCAGACAGTCTCCGTGGTCATGTGGCCGGCATGACTAAACACCAAAGTGCACGGAACACTATTACCTGCCTACCGAAGTGGCACCTTTTTATCTACTTGCAAGGGGACTGCAGGTGGCGCAGCGGTTTAAACCGCTGTGCTGCTGGGCTGGTTGACTGAAAGGTCGCCGGTTCGAATCTGCACAATGGAGTGAGTTCCCGTTGCTCCGTCCCAGCTCCTGCCAACCTTGCAGTTCGAAAGCATAACAACTGACGTATATGCAAAAATCAATCTTCATTTCAAAATAAAATGTAAGAAGGGTTAGATTTTAGTTATGTTTAGTTTAGTTTTAGTTTAGTTAGTATCAGTAAAAGAATTTAAACCAGAACTCAGCATCTTCCCAAACTTTTGAAACTCAAACACATTTTCCCATGAAGCAAGGATGTGTTGCTTAAACTCACCTTCCTAGGGAAGCATGGCCAATTTTGTTCAGATTATGATGTGATTGTTTTTTTCTAGGCCCTCACTTTTCTAAATTATGGAAGAAATTAGATGGAAGTCAGATGGAAATGTGGGAATTCCTATCAATTCTCAGATTAGCACACATCTGAAAATCCAAATTTTCCCAGATACTGTGAGTTTTGGGTTCGTGTAACATCCCGTTTCAGCTCTTGAAGTAACAGCTAATGTCTCCTCATCTGAGATATTCTGAAACCATTGTTCCAGTACAGCCAGTCTCACCTTCACTGTGAGTATAAATCCAGCACTGTAGAAAGGGTTTTCTCGGTCCAATGGCCCATTCAGAGTTAATGCACCACTGATGTAGTCCAGTGCAAAGATACTGTTGGTATTGCCTGACAATGAAATAAGTAGGATCAGCAGAAATAAACTCCTGTGTAGAAGAACATAAAAAGCTCGAGACTTAATACAAACAATATAGACATGCAAATGCACAAGCACATGGGTGGACATGTGCATTTTATTAGCCACTTTGTCTCCATAGACAGCAGAGCAGTTGCCAAAGGAAGCTTGAGAGGCAAAATGAGTGACAGATTATGCCATGATTTGGAAACACTGTCGGATGCATTTTAAAGACCAAACTATTTCTCATTGCCTCAGTCTAGCAAGATACAGACTTGAGAACTAAGCTAGCCCATCTGATAGCATCACAGAACTTCAGGCAGTGTAGGAGTAAGCACTTCAGTTAAAATGGAAATATATTCATGGCTTTTGTATACAAATCAGTTCAGTTACTGAATCTCTGACAGGGCACAGGGACATCCATCTGCACTTCCCTTTAAGTCTAAGACTAAGGGTGGGAGGAGGAGGAGGGCTTAGTGGAAAACATTCGTGACAGAATGGATGAGATCGGAATGACGTGCGGGATACAGATAGGACAAGAGATTCTTTTTCTGCCTCCTCTGTGATGCACAGATGCAAAAGGGGGAGCAAGCGAAATCGTACCGTCCAATAGGAAATCAAACCTACACACCATGGAACAGGAAATCAAGGGATTTGGGAATGGAAGAAAATGATCTAAGAAGCCTCTTCTGTAATGCAAGCATACCAAAATCCTCCTGATTCCAAATTTCAACTATTCCTATCTGCTGATTATGTCAGGGCTAGATCTGGCACCCCTTAGATCAGCCATGCTACTTGCCCTGCTGGTGATAAAAATGAAATGTTTTAAAAGCTTTGTTAAATCCTTAGAAAATGGGAAGAGGTTTGGGGGTGGGGGGGGGGAATAGCATGGGGACATGCCAGTCAGCATAGTGTGGAACTGCCTCTGCCTTCAAACTTGCAGGATCATTTCTCTCCACCAGAGTTCAAACTTGGAATGGGCTAGCTAAATTTGACCAGAAATCAGTAAGATCAACCTACACACTCTCACATTATGAATGTGAGATGTGGGGCACAGAGCACACCAACCCTCTTCCCTCCCTCCCTCCCTCCCTCCCTCCCTCCCTCCCTCCCCCCCAACCATACTGACTTAAAAAAAAAAAAAATTCATGGCCAGCGCCACCCCTTTCCTTCATAAATTTGTCATCCCTTATTCTATGGTTATCTCTCTGTCAAATTCTTGACCTGCTAAAATGTCCCAGCCAGGGTTAAGTGCAGTTTAGTGTGTGGCCAACTGTGCATGCTGCAGAATTGTCTGATGGCTTCCAGTTGGTTTGTCTGCATCATTGGTCTAACAGCAATTTCATTTTGTTCTTTTTCTGTGTGAAGAGCAAATGAAAAAAAAAGAAAAGGAACTATAAAAAGCACCACCATCACCACCACCCCAGGCCCATTTCTACACCTCTTTTCTTTGCCCATTCACTGGGTTCTGCAGTTGAAAAGTAATGGGAAGTATGTAGCATTTGAGAGATGTAATCATGACCTACTACTTCAGCGGTATTCACTAGATGTTCCCAAGCTGACAGATCTGACCTTAACTTTTCTTGTTCTGGAAGAAGAGGGAGAATTCATTCTCTCTCTCTCTCTCTCTCTCTCTCTCTCTCTCTCTCTCTCTCTGTGTGTGTGTGTGTGTGTGTGTGTGTGCACGCGCGCGCGCCCATGCACATGTGCACATGTGTGTGCTTTAGTACTTTAGCAATATGGTTGTTTCTTCCAAGACTAATTCTGCAAGGTAGGAGAGACTGCAGGACACCTTTTGTCTGTATCCCTTAGAATCAACATCACAACATTCGTGGATATGTTTAGTTTCACATTGACTGCCCACACTGATTGCACATATGGTTAGCATATATGGTTTGCATATATATGGTCTTATATAAGGAGAATAAGAGACATTTAAAGTCTTTATTTAGCAGGTCAGCATTTTTGCAAAGCAATCCAGTGCATGGAAAAAGCAAACTCCTAGTTAAGCAATCATCTCCACTATCCCATTCAGTAAAAAAGAATAAAGCGGAGAGAAGTTCAGAAAGAGCCAGTAGTTTTTAAAAGAAAAGGAAATATCCACCGTAATCACTAAAGCTTACTTAACTGCATCCTATGGATAAATCACCAGTGTAGCTTTCAATTGTGGGGAAGCGATGAGGACCACTTAGACTCCATGCCTGGCTTGCTCCTGTTTTCATTCCTTATCAGCTAGTTGGAGGCAACAAAAAATTCAAAGCCCCAAAGTGCTTTTATGGAGCTAGAAAGTTCTGAGAAGGAAATCTAAAGTTACTTTCAGCAGTCTCCAGTGTGGCCATGTGCTCTCTTTTACAATGGGCAGCCCTCCATTTGAGATTTCCAGAGAAGTTTCTGTCTGGAGCAGTTACTGGTTTGAAGGATGGTCTCATTCCAATTCCAGTTTAAAGAAAAGGAATCCTAAGTTACTTATCAAGAGTTTGTTCCTGGACACCAGAAAGAACAGGCTGCTACACTACTATTAGAAATAAAATATTTCTGATTTAATATATGTAAATCATACATAAATCTGTGTCCTGTTTTGTCTTCCTTTTTGGTGATGCACTCTTTCGGTTTTGGCAATTTCTATATGGCCTTTTCAAATAGCCTGGAAGAACCTGACCATGCAACCATCAGGTAAGGTCTACCAGCATCTTGTCAACATAAGCCAAATCATGGGGGAGAGGGAGGTAAAGCTGGCAAGTTGCCCTGGAATCTATAGATGGAAAAAAACCCTGGGGTCTCTTGCAGTCTTGCAACCGCTGACATGTTCTTTATTAAATGATATTTCCAGAAGAAGTGGGAAGGAGAAGGTTTAATTTATCTGAATGACCCTGCTGGCACATAATGTTAGCAAACCATGGATGAGTGCTAGCACTGGTTTACACAATCAACCTCTGATCAGCACAACTGGAAATGATTAACCTAACAACTAATGGTAGGTTGGGATTATTGGGAATAACTTGTTTGCATGTGCCTCTCCCACATAATTTTCCAAATGAATATGTTGCCAGCACAAGACAGAAGCTACCAGACAGAGGCTTCAGTCACTGCTAAATGACTATTTTGCCTCTGTGTTCTCCCCAAAGCAGGACGGGGGATATCCGCATAGGAGATTAGATGAGGCTGGGGACTCAGGGACACAGATTAGAGTCACTCCCCTTGAAGTCAAGGGGCTCCTCGGGGCATTGGACATTACAAAGGCGCCAGGCCCTGATGGGTTACACCTGAGAGTACTTAGAGAGTTGGCAGGGCCATTTTTGAGACATCGTGGAGAACGGGTGAAGTTCCAGAGGACTGGAGGGTGGCATCAGTGGTCCCAATTTTCAAAAAGGGTAGTAGAAAGGACATGGGGAATTATAGACCTGTTAGCTTTACGTCCATTGAAGGAAAAACAATGGAAAGGCTCATAATAGAGAGAGATCTAGTGATGCTAGATAGGGAGGGGAGGCTGACAGCCACACAACACGGCTTCCGCAAAAACAGGTCCTGCCAGACAAACCTTGTGGAATTCTATGACAAGGTTTCAAGATGGCTAGATGGAGGGGATGCAGTGGATGTGGTATACCTGGATTTCAGCAAGGCCTTTGACAAAGTGCCCCATGATATCCTGGTGGAGAAACTGAGAAGTTTTGGGATACACCAAAGCACTGTCTGGTGGATTAGGGCATGGTTGACTGACCGAAAGCAGAAGGTAACCATTAGTGGGGAATCATTGGGATGGCAGCCAGTGACAAGAGGGGTCCCCCAGGGCTGTGTCATTAATTTTCATTAATGACATGGAAGAAGGGGTAAACAGTCTGCTGATCAAATTCGCAGACACTAAAACTGGAGCAGTGGCCACAACTGAGGAGCAGGTACTCCAGATCCAAAAGGATCTGGACAGACTATGGAAGTGGGCAGAAGACAACAGGATGGCGTTCAATGTGGATAAGTGCAAGGTCTTGCACTTGGGGCATAGGACTATCTGTCATAAGTACAGGTTAGGTGACAAGTGGCTGGAGAGCAGCACTTGTGAAAGGGACCTTGGAGTACTGGTTGACTGCAGGCTAAACATGAGTCAGCAGTGTGATGCGGTGGTCAAGAGGGCGAACACCACCCTTGGTTGCATAGCCAGATGTGGCTTCTAGCTCAAGAGAGGTATTACTACCACTCTACACGACTCTGGTGCACCCGCAACTGGAGTATAATGCTCAGTTTTGGGCCCCTCATTACAGAAAGGATATAGCCAGGTTAGAGTCAGTGCAGCGTAGGGCCCACAAGGTTGGTGGCTGGTTTGCAGGGGAACTGGGTCTCTTCAGCCTGGAGAAGAGGAGACTCAGAGGGGATATGTTGGCGACATACAAGTATGTGAGTGGATGTCACATGGAGAAGGGTAGAGACCTGTTCTCCCCTGCAGAGGAAGGCAGGACGTGCTCCAACGGAGCAAAGCTCAGGGAGCCGAGTTCCATTTGGATGCCAGGAAGCATTTCCTGACAGGACCCGGAGGGTGTGGAAAGGGCTTCCACAAAAGGTCACTGAGGTCCCAATGGTGTGGGTGTTCAAGGATAGGCTGGACATGCACATGGTGGGCATGTCGTGAGCAGAGCCAGCTGGTGTCAGAGGTCAGACTAGATGGCCCAGGAGGCTCCTTCTGACTCGCTCTGTTTCTATGTTTCTATGATATTCAAGAAATCCAGCTTTATTTTTACATGTTAATGAGATGCTGGATATATCGGAAGTGTTGGATATCCACAAATAGCACTATCAGATACAATTGCCAGTTTTTAATTTAGCTGTACCCATAGTATTTTTAATCTAATTTTAAAATCATAGTATATAATCAAAGGAACAGGAATTAAAAAGACGTTCATCATATTTTCTTATTTTACTTCAATTGTACTTGAATGGCATTGTGCTCCACAGCATACTTACCAGGAGCAATCCTCATTGAGCTCCATCAGATTTATTTCAGATT